TGACCAATGGCACAACCCCAACCATGGAATTTACCATGTGCTAGGACTTTTGCTGAGTTATGTACTTGCAGATCGCCGGAGCAGTCATAGATGTCCATGCGCTTGATGAATGTTGGCACACTCATTCGGTCGGTTGCATGTCCTTGTCCATTGCATGCAGCTGCAGCCATTGTCTGGAAAAACACATCCATCGTTGTCGGGTGTATCAGATAGTGCGATTCGGAACCATCTGGAGTCTTATCGCATACCGTAGCCTTGGCACTGTTCTTGTTTGGCGTACATTCAATGTCCTTCAATCCTTGGAAGCAGGGCCCATATCTGGCCCCGAGGTGCCACATGGCCTGGTACCATTTTTTTGCGTCGATTCTCCGCGGAAAAGCAGTTTCGGGCACTGCTGGGGAAGAGGGTGAGGAATGGATTGCCTCGACCGAACCTGAGCAGTGTTTCGTCCACGTAGTGCCTGAAAATGATGAGATCGTGAACTCCCATCCATTACTCTCCAAATGGTCCGTGATGCGCCATCTTCTTAAAGATGTCACTATCTCCACTGGACTGTTTTCTTCTAGAATTAGCGCAGCGCCAATGACCATGTTCTTCACACTGAATCCAAGAAATTTGTGGTCCTGGTCAGACAAGGGTTGTCTCCGACAAGCCTCTCCAGCCATGGTAACGTATGCAGCACCTGGGAAAACTACATCACCATCGATATTATGGTCTCGTATCCAGGGAGCGTTTTCCAGCTGAAATATGTTTCGAAAGCTAGGCTGCTCTTCGTTGTTCTCCAATATGAGCGATCCCAAAAGCTCGTGATGTGGGAACTTGGGATATCGCCAAGCTTGGGTGATGCGGTTTTGAGAAATATGTGCTTTGCCATGATACCAAGGATATGTTGGCATATCTGTGAGCACTTTTGCAGTACCAAGTGGGTTCGTTAGGCGGTGGAGATCGAAGTCCAAACCATGCTGCCAGAGCGTACCCAAAGCCACGAGGTATGTTGCATCTGCATTTTTCTCCCTATGGAGGCATGAGGCGTACGGATGGACAACAGAATTTTGTTGAAAGATTTGTCGAAGAGGCCCTGAGAGCGTGCTGTGAGGTCCCACTTCGAGAAAACAAAGGTTACGACGTGTAGCATCTTCAGACTCAGTTAAGAGGCTGTTGAGAGCCTGGAGGAAGAGGACAGGTGATTCGAGGTTGTGACGGAAATACCGCGCGTCAATGCACTTGGAATCTGGCAATGACAGGCCGGTTACGGTTGAGAAAAACTCCGGGTTTGTAGAAGTACTGTTGTGAGGAACTTCATCTTCCAGGAATGATGCTACCATTTCCTCATATTCATTCCCAGCATTGAGCATATGATGTGAGTGATATGCAGTACTCACTTTCAACATGCGCACAAACACTTCGGGGTTTCTGGTCTGGATAGCTTCTACAACGTCTCGTACAGCTGCCTCGTCACCTGAAATGGTGACGTTTGAAGGTGAATTGTTGCATGCAAGGACAACACCTTCTTGAAGAAATGCAGTCACCTCATTCCAGCTCAGACCGATTGCAGCCATTGCACCACTCCTAGTCGCAGCTTGCGATACGAGGCCCCGGTAGTAAGCAAGAACTATGGCCGCGCGACGTGATATCCTGTTTGCTGCATATGCCGCTGCTATCTCTCCTGATGAATGGCCAAGCACAGAGTGTGGTTTGATCGCTAGACTGGCTAGGGCGTCGACTAGAGCTACTTGAACTGCAGTACACACTGGCTGAGAGATAGCAGCTGTGCCCAAGTTACTAGAGTCTGCGTCTTTGGCCAGTTCTTCTTGAATGCTCCAGGTAGGTGGCGTTGGCAGCTTTCTAAGCTCACGGTCCATTTCTTTGATAGAAGAGGCAAATGTAGTGTTAGACTGTAAAAGTTCAATACCCATACGCGGCCAATGAGCACCTTGCCCGGTAAATATCATAACCAGTCGCGGTGGTGAGGCCCCCACGATAGATACGCCAGCATGTGAGTCGACAGACATTGCTTGGATCACAGAAAATGCGCGATGAGCGAAATGCTCGCGTCGGCAAGCTAGTGTGTAGGAACCATGCTCAGCTTTCGTGTCATTGGACATTGCATATTGCCAAAGGCTCCGTGTTTGCATCTCTAATGATTCCGATGTGTTCGCTGTCATGAGGAACAGCTTGCCGAACTTTACAGAGTCGAAAGCCGATTTCTCTCGCTCAGAATCGGGTATGTCTGAGATTACACCATACGAAGCGGCAGATTCGAGGATAAGATGAGCATTAGCACCACCAATTCCAAAATTGTTCACAGAAACCCTCTCCAGTTTGTCTTTGGGCCAGCTGATGCAATCGGTGGGAACCTTGATGTCCTTTTCAAGGAATGGTATCTTGGGATTTGGAGTTTCGAACTTGATATTTGGTGGTATGACGCGATTTTCCAAAGCCAAGACCGCCTTAATGATAGAGGTAATCCCCGATGCACCCTCGGAATGGCCAACATTCGGCTTGACGGACCCGATGTACACCCCACCGTTTCCAAACACGTTAGTCACTGCTGTAGCCTCGATAGGATCACCCGTAGGGGTGCCCGTCGCATGACATTCAACAAATGCGGTTCGCGTAATGTCAGATTCTGGTATCCCAGCAGTCTGATATGCTCTGCGAATCATGTCCTCTTGACTGGAAGAGCTGGGCATGCTCAGCCCCGGGGTTTTTCCATCTGCATTGATGGCAGATCCACGAATAATAGCACGGATAGGATTCCCATGCCTGATAGCAGCACTTAGCGGCTTGATGTAAATCAAGTTGACACCTTCTGCGCGAGCGTACCCATCTGCATCTGCATCAAAAGATCGAGAGGACGCGTTGGCCGAGGTAACGCCTTGTTCGGACATATCAGCCATGGTATCAGGACTCCAGAGCAGATTGCTGCCGCCCACCAGAGCGGCACTGCAGTCTCCATTCCGGATCGCGAGGCAGGCTTCATGTAAGCCCATAAGTGATGCGGAGCATCCCGTCCGTATAGTCATACTCGGACCCCTGAGATCGTACTCGTATGATATCCGGTTTGAAAGCATAAAGTCACCATGCCCGGTGACCTTGTACATGTTCTTGTCCAAACGGTCCTTTGTACCCATCTCTAACCAGTCATTTCCAAATGAACCGACGTATGTCCCAATGTCTTTTCCGCGCCAGTCGATTTCGCCAGCACTTTCGAAGCATTCCCTTGCAAGTTCGAGAAGGATTTTTGCCTGGGGATCCATGCGCTCTGATTCTTGTTGTGACATGCGGAATAAAGAAGTGTCGAGAGCACCCACTTCAGCGCTTTCATCCAGAAAGTAGCCATATTTGGAGTTAATGTAGCCTGATTTCCCAGAAGCCGAATGAAAGGCTTCGGCGTTGAAGCGCTCGAAAGGAATGGGCGCACGAGCGTCCTTCTTTTCGGTGAGAAATGTCCAGAACTGGGCAGGTGTTCTTAGCGCACCCGGCAAGCGGAGAGCCATGCCACAAATGGCAATTGGGTCTGGTTGTTGCTCCATTTTGTTGACTTGACGCATGAACAGTTTTTGATACAATTTGACAACCGAGCATGCTCTGAGATTGGAATGATGGTTAGAAGCAAGCCAGATAATATACATTATCACCGCATCTGCTGCTTCCAGTGCAAACCCATCCACCCTTTTTGTGCACGGGCCTATCTTTGCAATTGCATACCATTGTACTTTTTCCGGTAGTAGCGTGTCTGTCAACGAACACGAAGCTAGGTGTCAAGCTCCGACAAAAAAAGAATTACATCAAACGAAAACCCAGGTCCAACCATGGCATTGGGGCACTTAACGATTGATTCAAGAACATATTTACCCGCAAAACCCTATGTTCTGAAAGAACAGCCGCACTATTGCCCTGAATTCAAGAGTGCCATTGCATCCCCAAGTATTTTGACAGAATTCTGATATGTTCAATCTCCCTTCGTTTAATCACACTTCATGCAGACAGAAGACAAAGAAACAAATTACCGGTCAGCAAGAACCATCTGAGAGTCTTCTTTTTTAAATCCCTGTCGGTGCATACAGATGCTGACCTGACACCCCCATCACACTGGTGTGGCGTCTAGTCAGAAGCCGTGCCCAGGTCTAGCGGTGAGAATTATGGCTTTCATCTCGGATCCAAACTACCAAGAAACACGGTGATCAAACATCCCAACTCCATACTATCTGTGCGCACCTCAATGTAACCCCCTGCCCTTCCCTGTCTTCGCCTCCCAGTACAACCTGATGGCCGGTGAGAGAGTGTTGGGAAACACGATTATTTTCTTTACCGCCTGTTACTTAGTACAACGTATGCGCCTCGCTTAACCATCGACCAACTAACCTGAGAAGCATGTGCTACAGATGTCGCAATATGGTTTAGAAATACATGGTAGCTGATAATAATTATCTCAGATCATGACCCACACGTTCTAAAAACGATAGTTACAGACAGAATGAGATTATCGCTTTGGACGTTTCGAATGGAACAGCCAAGGACTAAATTCGTCTGACTTCTCGTTCGACCCCGGCGTCCAACTACTTCCAGAATACGCATTCTGATCTTGTGCCCCGGGGAAATGACAAAACAACCTCATAAAGAAGAAATATCGATCAACTAACTTCAGGACCTCATATGTTGAATCGCTGGCGAGATTTTAATTACCGCGGTTGAGCAATGTGGATTGGGGGATCTGATTCACATAGACGTTTCAATAAAGCTTTGACATGAGCCAGACCCAGAGAATTGATGAGACATTTGTGAGAACAATGTCCCCATGTAAAAGGGAATCGTGCTGCCTCTAGTCTTGGGAAAACAGAGCCAACCCCTCAAATTTTGTAGCTCCAAACAAGAACATGGAAATAACACCTGCGACTCAAGAGGCTATGAGGGATTTCTCGATAGTTGAGCCTAGAAAAGATGAGGGTCGCGACAGAAGGTATTTGATCGCGGCTTTCGGTAGTCTTTGCGTCATCATGCTAATGGTTGCTCTTGATGCTACATCGTTAGCAGTCGCATTGCCTGTAAGCTTTGCCACTCCAAATCATTGCTATCTCGCAAAGATCTATTGTAATTTTAGCTAACGAATAGGAAGGTAATTACAAAAGCTCTTACAGGTTCTGCCGTGGAGGCTTTCTGGAGCGGCACGTCGTTTCTTCTTGCATCGACTATATTTCAGCCAATACTGGGATCCTTCTCAAACGTCTTTGGGAGAAAACCGATTATTAATGTTAGCCTGGCCCTTTTCTTAATCGGCTCGATTGTTATTGCGGTTGCCACAAATTTTACAATCGTACTGGTAGGAAGAACCATCCAAGGTGCAGGTGGAGGTGGTATCCAGTGCCTAACGGCCTTGATAGTCGTGGACAAGATTCCTCTTAAAGAACGCGGGAAATGGTTCAGCGTGCTTGGAGCCATGTGGTCCATTGGCACCGTCACAGGTCCTTTACTTGGTAGGTTACAACCCCTACGAACCTAGTGTACCATTAACATGGCGAAACCCAGGCGGAGGCTTAGCCAAAGAAGCCTTGTGGCGCTGGATTTTCTGGATCAACATTCCATTCATCTGTATTGGCGGAATATCTATCGCAATATTTTTGAAGTTCGACAAGACCAATGTGGCTCTTATCGCAAAGATGAAGGAATTAGACTGGGTCGGAATGAGTCTCTTCCTTACATCGACAACAGGATTTCTTATCCCCATCACCCGAGGTGGTGTCGAATGCCCCTGGAACTCATGGCGTACGCTTGTACCACTCTTCATCTGCACTGCTGGACTGATGGTGTTTGCCTTGCACCAGGAGTATGTGGCCAAAAACCCGTTCATTCCTATTGGTATCTTCAAAAACCGGTCTGCATCAATCATGTACGTGCAAACAACCATATATGGCATCATTCTATCAATGGGGATGTTTTACCTCCCACTCTATTTCGAGGCAGCGAAGAACATGTCGCCCGTCATGGCCGGTGTTGGCATGTTTCCATGGACCTTCACGTTAGCTCCAACTGCAATGGTATGTCTCTCAACTCGTTATATAATCAATTCAGAATTTTGATCATGACACAGGTTGTTGGAATCGCTATATCGAAGACGGGAGTATACCGATGGGCGAATTGGCTAGGTTGGTGTCTTGTGGTGGTCAGCATGAGCCTCCTTGTGCTGCTCGAATCCGACACATCAACAGCCGCGTGGGTGTCAATAAGTCTTGTTGGTGGTATTGGACTCGGTGCGCTCTATCCGGCCATGATTCTCGGTGTCCAGGCCTCTACAACGGTGGAAAACCAGGCCTCTGCAACAAACATGTTCACATTCTTGAGAGCTCTTGGTCAAACCCTAGGAGTCGCAATTGGCGGAGTAGTTTTCCAAAACATGATTGAGAAGAGAATGTTGTCAAAGCCACTCTTGGCTAGGAAAGCCAAGGAATACTCCAAAGATGCAATAGGCTTGGTACAGGTCATCAAAGCTATGCCGAAGAACGATGCAAAGGAGCAATTGATCGAGAGCTTCACTTACGCACTTAGGTATATCTGGGTCGTAGCGGCATCGATCGCAGGGATTGCATTACTCGCGAGCATCTTCATCGAGGCGTATCAGTTGAGCAACCCACTCGAGGCGGACAAGACCACCGAAGAAGATAAAAATTAGAACTAGCGGAAAATAGTGGAGGTGGATCATCCCAATAAAGTACTTATGAATTTGGAAGCAGCAACATGTCGTTTGGACAGTTCAAGAAGCAGCAGCACCTACATGCTATATTAGCCGTAATCGTGATCAGGAGGACATTACGCAAGCATTTTGAATCAACCCCATGACGGCAAATCAAACTGACGCCATGATTAAGTGATGGAATTATTTCTTTGTAAACTGGAGGGGTATCATACAATGTGGAAATGTCCCAAGAATGTGTGACAGCACGATTACGGTAAAAGCTTGGGCTCAAACTCATGACGTGCACGGTACTTAGCCAAGGGTATGGGAACATCGACGCTATATCCCAATTCGCCCTGTACTTTTTCCATCTTCCTGGTCGCCTTACCGACCAGCCGAGCAATCCAACGATCATTGGCCATTGCATGAACGGTGGTTTGTCCAGCTTTACGCATACCTACCATGGTTTTGTTCGACGCTTCTTTGAAACCGGTATCTACCTTTTTGAGAAGAGCTTTGAAGCTTTTATCTTCAGTCCCATTGATGGTCGTCTGTGAGGCCTCAGTGTTGTTGGTGTTAACGGATGCTACACTGCTCGCCTCGCTGTCGGACAGGTTGGTGCTGACGCGCTTGAGCTCTCGTAGAACTTTGGCCTCCTCAAAATCTTTATCCGACTCAATTACTTTTGTGGCCTTGACAATAGCGGCAACAAAGTTCAATAGATCTTGATGAAACTGGGCTGGTAAGTGCGCATGTGCACTGACATGCATAGCTGCTTCATCCCTTTTAAGGCGTTTGAGCTCTTTTCGAGCTAGTGCCTGTTTTGGGGTAGGCTCAGCTTCGTTGATAGCGGACTCTATCTCAAGTAACTCAAAGTCGCTTGCTTTCTCTGGGAAGATGTGCTCATGGTGAGGAAACAAGAAGGTGGGTATTGTAAGAGTCGCATTTGCGCCTCCCAATCGGACGACTTGTTTAAGCTCGACAGCGTCCGGGAGAATTCTATAGGCGAGAACATCCGAGATCTTGAACTTTGTTTGGATGTTGTAGTTTGTATTGATTGGGAACAGCGCCTCGCTCTGAATCGGACCCAGTTCAACAGCAAAGTTGGCATCCGCGCACCAGGCAGATATCCGGGCCTCAAGTCTACGAATCTCGCCATCCTGTGACGAGTAATGCTTGAAGAAATACTTCTTCATGAGTGCCGTGAACCATTTTCCTGATCCGGCGGCTGTGACAGACTTGAACTTGACCGGGTGGAAGTAGCAAATGGGGCTGAGCATTAATCGGTATAGAAATGGCAGCCGGTGCAGGAATTTTTTCACATTCGGATAAGATGTCTTCCGGAGTGTGGATACTCTTATCGACTTGGAGGGTGGATGGGGTATGGAAGCCTGGCCATGAATCTGTGCACAAATGGCGGCACGAAAGTCGTCCATATTTTCGATATCGAGTCGCACCCCTGGTTCCTCCCTCGCTTTCCTGCTCTGCTTTCCTTCTTTTTCCTCATTTTCCCCGTCGACTTTACTATCTTTACGTATCTTTGAAGCCTGGATCAACTGCTTCTTTGCGATGGTTATGGCACTAGTTTCGTCGATGTAGCGTATCAGCTCCTTGTACTTTGTGTGTGCTTGCTCTTCGTCTGGAGCCACTTTTTTGACGGATGAGAAGGCAGATGCGGTGTCTTGAGCCTCAGTTGGGACTTTTCCGGCTGTGAAGCTTCTCACCATGTCAGTCGGGTGACCAGCGATGCCGCCCTTTTGCGTTGCCGCTCGAAGTATAGCCGTGTTGGTTACGACCACCGAGTCATCGTCGTCTGGTTCCGGAACGCCATACGTGACATCGCCAAAGGTGACTTCCCATTCCCCGCCTTTGACGTTTGCATACACATCATCGACCATGATCTCACGGAACAAGGGCACAACCACTTTATCCACCTGTATGCCCAGCTCAACATCATCGGAAAGTTTGATTCCAGCTTCCACACCATGGGCAACAAGTGTCATTGTCGAGAGCGACAACGTAACGCCGCGAATGACGAAAAGACCTTTGACTTCGGTATCAATCTCCAGCGCTGGCAAGTCAAAGAAGGCTATCTGGTCGTTGATGAAGTGGAGATCGCGTAAAAATGTTTTGCGTAGGCTGCGTCGTGCGAGGGCGGCAGCAGCGTCGAACTGGTAGAGGCACGTGATAAGAAGGGCTGGCCAGCAACAGGTGAAGAAGACCCAGTATAGTAGCCATGATGTCGCGCATACTGCGTAGGCCAGGTTAACGGTAGCGAAGACGGTCCACACAGGGGCAAAGGGGAAGATGCGGTGCCCATGGGCTTCACCCAGCAGGATGGCATACACAAAGGTGGGCGCTCCCGAAATAACCCATCGAGATGGCCAGGAGAGAGTCAGTGCAGCCAAAGCGGTGGCGACAAGAAAGACATTAGGGATGAGTTTGCTGGTAAGCTCGCGCTCTGATGTCGTAGCTGGTAGAGGATCTGCGAGCGGAGCGACAGGCTTGCGCTTTGGCATGGCTGGCAGCTCGCGCGGTACGCACGAATCCATATTTGCGGCGCCGTAGAGTGTGGAAGTTGCAGGTTGGCTAGGATAGAAAAAGATACATGGTGTTTGTGCTACTCGGCTCGCTGTGAGTGGAGTAGAGTAAAGTAGAGTAGAGTGTGTGCAGGTGCCGTCATTTGCACGCGCCTGGACATACAGGGTTTCTTTGACAACCACCTGACGTCATCAGGCGTTCCCCACACTCGAACAAGCCATGCGCATCTGTCCAAATGGCTGAGCAGAGCAAGAAAAATGACAAGAATTATGATTGCGATGCGTGGTCCAAATAGCATCGGTACATACTTAATACACATGGTTAGCTATCGCCCTGTACTTAGACCATGTCAGCCCCAGTTGACAAGGCTTCCCTGCGCCGGTGATGATGCCGCCCCGCACTTGTGTATTACATACTTGTACTACCACTAACTACCACTACGGTCCGATCCACAATCTGGGGAGCGTCGCATCACGCCATCACAGCATGCACACCGATATTCAGGGGAAACACCCTTCTCATGACCCTGATGAAGACTGTGAGCCTTGTCTTGATGTACCTATTGCCTACGCAATGGTGTTTGCTTATCGCTTCGATAATGGGTACATATTCCCGACACCCTAAACCCCATTGGCCACCGACCTCTCCTCAGTCCCATCAACTCATTCTTCGCATAACAGGTACCTGATCCTGGAATGGCACAGCACATCCTGCTAAGCATCCGAGCCGGGCTTCAGACTATGTACGGCTCGTGTAATACATAATACCTTTTTTTCGTACCGAGTCCCGTGTTCTAAACATCCAAAATCAAAGCATGTTACCAGTGAAAAGCAAGTCGTATATAAAGTATTAGATCAAATCAAAGAACAAGACTTGAGGAAAAAATCCAAATCCATACCAGTCTGAATTGATCTGCAGATGGCTATGATTCATAGCCCAATGTGATACCTGGAAGAAACTAAGCAAAAGACTGCTGGAGCATTCGGAGAATACAATGACAATGATATGGTGGTGAGTGATGCATATGGACTTTACAATCAATCTAGAGGTACCGTAGGCATGCCAAAGGCCTAGATCAACTTCGGGTTCCGAGGAATTTATTGAAAAGGGACATATATAGTTAATATAGGGGGCCTAAGTCGACCGGGGTGGTTGTCTTGACAGGTATAAAACGATAACGACATGCCCTGCGCACAACGCGGATACACACGTACTGTACCTGGACGACTAACCGACAGTGTACCAGAACACAATGAGTCGTACCAATGCTGATAGATTACGGTGGGCCGAACTGGTTGAGCAGCATCTAGCACACGCCTTGACTGCGAGCGAGTCATACACCGAGGCAGATATCGCAGCCCATGTGGACTTCTTTAGACATCATGTTTGCAGCTGGCTAGGCCCGGGACCAGCACCGTTACTGCCACTGCGTCCCGCGTGTCCATCAGCACTGACATACGACGCAACTCCGGTCGAGGTGAGCTACGGGTGGAAGGGCACGTCGTCAGTCATGGTCCGCTACGTGGTTGACTTGATCGGGCGCCAAGGAAATCCGAATCGCGCGGCTTCGCTCATGACAGCACAAAAGACAATCGATGGGCTGCGTAAACATGCGAGCAGAATAGGACTTGGTGGGTACCGTGTCGACATGCTGCCGGATATATGGGAGGCTGTGACGGCGCGGCTGGCCCACTGGGAGAAGTCGGACCACACGGCTGAATGCAAAGTGTGCACACCTTCAACGACTTTTGTCGGCTTCGATCTCGCAACATCAGGCCGGGTGCATGGTAAGCTGTACTGGCGCCTTCCAGCGTGCCTGTTTGGCCAAAAGCTTCTCGAGCTGTTGGACAACGTCTTTGCTCTACTGCCACGCTACGGCGTAGACGTTGGCGGCCAATGGGCTCAGCTGCGACGCCATCTTACCTTGCACCCCACCAGCGAGGGAGGTAGCCAAGGTGTGCGACCGCGCATGCTCTCCATTGATGCTACACGGTATCCTGCAGCGCGCATCAAGTTGTACAGCCGTTGTTACTTTGACTCGCACGCTTCCTTTGCCGACGCCGTTGAGCCACACCTTAGCCTGGATGGGGCGGTGCCGCTGCCACTCCCCTGTCACTACGCCACCCTGTGGGCCCGCCTCCAGGCACAGTACCAGCACCAGCCCCAGCACCAGCGCTACTGCTTGCTTGCTCACGACATGCTGCCGAATACTACCCTCACCACCAAGCTGTACTGGTTTGCTGACCAGATGCCCTCGGGCGATGCCCTCATCATCAACGACTTGGTGGCCGACTTTGCACAGCCCCACGCCTTCATGAAGCGCCAGCTCGACGCCGGTCACTTTTCGCACAACTCGAGCTACATTCGAGAGATTGGCATGGGCCAGCGCAAAGATGGTTCGTTTGACATGGCCCTCTATATTAGTCCTTGTTTGTTTTCCACGTAGTAGCAGCTGTGTAGTCATTCAGTGCCATGTCGAGTAATGCATGCGTTTCAGGTGACAGCGTCTCACCATACTCACACTACCCTATGACTACCGCCCTATTCTGAGCTC